GGGTTGCAGGTTTAGGGTTTAGGGGTCAAGGTTTCAAGGTTTATGTTTTAGGGTTCAGGGTTTGCCAACCCCAGGATTTCTGAGCATGCTTCCATAGGCTGATGTATATTTGCCCACTAAACACCCTAAATCCTAAGCCCTAAACCCTAAGCCCTAAACCTAAACCCCAAGCCCGAAACCCTAAACCCTAAGCCCTATAAACCCTAAACCCTAAGCCTTAAACCTAAACCCTAAGCCCTAAACCCTAAGCCCTAAGCCCTAAGACACATCAAGAGCTCAACCTTGGCACAGCCCTAGATACTCTTACTTAGCCAATGCAAGAACTTTAAATGTTTGGGCCTTCCTTATTTAGTCTTTATCTGAAAGGTTGAACTTTTTTGACCCTGGTGATCGGGGAGAGAGTACTGGACACTTGAGCTATAGTCTAAATTCCTTAAAAGTGGGTTTAGGGTTTAGCGTCTAAACGCCTTGAAAGTGGGAGTTACATAGGGGACTATTGGGATAATGTAGGGTTTAGGGTTTAGGGTCTAAACCCCTTACAAGGGGGTTATATAGGCGAGTACATAGGGGACTACTTTAGGGCTTATGAATAGGGATACTAGGAGTTTAGACTATAGCTCGGTTGAGGTGAAAAGAGTGAGCTTTTTCTTGGGTAACAGCCGCGCTACAAGACGTTGGTGCTCTTTTTGAGAGGAGGCTACAAGCCCCAAACCCTAAACCCTAACCGCAAACCTTAAACCCTAAACCTTGGGGCTTCACTGTTCGTTTAGCGGAGTTTAAGCATTATCAATGAGGACACTTAACATCCCTTCAAGCTAGCCTCTCTCAATACGTAGTACCGTTTCTTAAGCTTCTGACTACTTGTAATTCTTGTTGTGGATTTCGGATGATGCCTACCCAGTCATGATGAGTGTCGCGCTGCATGGAAAGTTTCCTGCCATCGCAATCATGGGTCGCCTCTGGAGCATTCACAGGAGTCTGAGCCTGCGGGTTATTTGTGTCCTCTTCGAAGGTTTTTGGGAAGGGCCCTCAGTAAGGGAGCCTCGTGGTTCTAATCGGCTGGCTGGGCGTATTATTATTGGATTTCTGTTTAGGGGTCTGTTGGGCCCATGTGAGGTCCCTCGATGGAGTCCTTCCCAGAACCTCTCACCTCTTCGCTAAGCGACTGCGTAGGATTGCAGGATTTGATTATTTCAAGAAGTGGGGGTTTCCCAAAATTAGGGGTACCATTTTGGGGGTCCCCATAATAAGGACTATAGTGTTTGGGGTCTTTATTGGGATCCCCTTATTTAGGGAAACACCCAAGCATGGCCCCCTGCGTCTAGCAACGTCTTGCCCTTCGTGACTTCCATAAAGTGATCATGCATGTAAAAGCAACTGCCTCAGAAGCCGCCGAAACGCCTGACCTAAGCCCTATAACCCCCAAAAGCGCCAAACAGCTTGTACTTGTCAAAGGCGGGACCCTGCAGACAAGGAGATTCGCGTTTTTGGAGCAAGTTTTGGAATCATTCAATTTTTACAGTCGTGAACTTTCGAAAAAAAACCGAAATGGGCCTGGGGGTTTAGCGAAAACTGGCACGTTGAAGGAAATCGGGGCGGACAGCAATTTACAGTAAAATTTCAGCACATCCCGTTTATATTTTTTGCCTGTCTGACGGTCAGGAAATAGGGGGACCCCAACATCGACCTTGACATACGAGAATGCTTGTTATAGGGATCTCCAAGACTCCAAGAGCCAGGACCTTCCTTGTACCCTTAATTGGGGATATATGGTCCCTAATCGTGGGTACTTAGGCCCTAATGGAGGGTAGGAGGAGGGTCTAGGAGGCCACCCCTAATTTTTTGGAAAGTCCAATGCTGAGCAGGAGCACGTCTTGAACTGGTAAGAGTTTGGTAGTCATGAAGGGGCTGCTGGTCTGAGTGCCAGTTGACAGTAGAATCCAGTAGAATGGCTGGAACACCACCCTCGTGACGAAAAAAGTTGGGATGCCATGCCGCTTTGCAAGGCTTGGGCTTAGGGTCTAGGGATTACCTGGACCCCCAAAGTGTGTAGAATAATGGCCTTTTGGGCTATATTTAGGGGATTTGGGCCATTATTTTAACTTAGGGGGGGTTAGGTAGGGGCCATGCGTATTTTTTCCAAAGTAGGAGTATCACCAGTAATGCCGGCGTTAGATCAGGGCATTGTTTCTTGGCAAATGGCATTTGATCAATTTTTGTCTTCCCAAATGGCCCCTAAGGAGAACAAGTTCCCACGTACTTTTCCTTAGACCTACAGAATCCTTCAACGACTTCCCCAAATAATACGGTCCCCTAAACTTTCCTTAGACCTACAGAATCCTGAAGCAATTTCCCCAAGTGACCTTTCGGTCAGCCCGCCAATATGCCTGCAAGCCGCTGTCGGAGCGGAGGGACGGCGCCATGAAACTTGTCCATTCTCCACTGATAATTGATTCGCCACCCCTGAATCACAGACATTGCAGTTATCGCATATTGGTACTTTACTAAGAGTATTGACTATTAGTGGGGTAGGGGTATTATGAGCGGCAGGGATTTCACTCACTGGCCGAATATTTGAGAGCTCATGAGTAGTTATCGCCTGTTTGCATTGCATTTGAAGCAATGTGTGGTGCCCCCAGACCCCAACATGGCTATAAGTTTAGGTTTTAGGGCTGAAGCTTGAAGCTACAGTCCTACTCGTGCTATAGCCAGCAGCTATAGTCTCGAACTCTCATGACCCAAATGGTTTTGTCATGGGGACCCTCAGTGGATTGATCTCCAGCCGCTTGACCCTGAACCCCTAAACCCCTAAAAACCCTGAACCCCTAAACTCTAATCCCTACCTAGACCCCCCAAGTACCCTCTATAGACCCTAAGTATCCCCAAATAGAAGCTACATAGACCCCATTTTAGGGTACTTGGGGGGGTCTAGGTAAGCCCTTTGAGAAGCCCGAGGCCGGTCACAGCGGCACATGGCAATATCCTGGAAAGCACGGCCCCATGGCAGGCGCCTGGGATGGGTTTAGGGTTTAGGGTTTAGGGTTCAAGGCTTCGGGTTCAAGGTCATTGGGTACTCGTTTCAGGGTTTAGGGCTTAGGTGTGGGCTTTAGGGTTTAGGGTTTGGGCTTTAGGGTTTAGGGTTTAGGATTTGGGTTTGTTTGGGGGTCATGGGGGTTTGCTTTTTTGGGGGTTGAAGGGGGGAACTTTGCGGATGAAGGATGTCCAAGGTAAGCTATTTGCTCAATTGCTTAAGTAATAGCCGCATAGGGTTAGAGTACCAAGCGGGGTTGACAGCATGTACACTCCACGGGACTAAGATGGAATATCATGGAGCATGAAAAGGGGACTTGAAATACGACTGTGCATTGAAAATGAGGCTATATCGGGTTCCATCTTAGCTTGCGGGAGGGCACAAGCGATTTCGGGCCTTGCCGGAGAATTCCTTAGACGGGCACATCTTGTGGGGGCTACCAATCCTACAGCGCTTTTCCCGCAGCAGGCAGCGACGTTTGCGCTGAGTGGTCTGCTTCTGAGAGGGCGTTAGCTTGCTGATTAACCCCCGCCCCTAGTATTGAACAAAAGCACCCCAAAAGATCGAACATTCCCAATATACACCACAATTGGAGTTTTTTAATATTGATTTTAATATCCGGGGGGGATTATCGATGCTGAGAGGAGATTGCGGCAACGGATCCCCAATGACTCGCCATACTACACCTACCTAGACCCACAGGGATCCAACTACATTGGGGAAACTAGGGGATAATATGGGGGCGTCCATTGTTAGGATCCTTTACGAAGGTTAGAGTGTGTTGCAATCTCCATCTCTACCCCTATCATAGTCCGAATATTCATTCCTCTGCTCCCCATTATGGAGGTCTATATAGGTTTTATGGGTAGGGTTTTGGGCTTAGGGTATACAAGTCCCAAAATGATGTGTAGTTCTGGGATGTAGAGGCTTGGTCATGCGAAAGTTTATTAAAAGTGCAGTATCCTTGAGGGAGCCAGAATGTGACTGCATTTTTCTCACAATTCCAAGGCTTTGTTCCACTCGGGAAACCACCATGAAACTGAGGGTTAGGGTTCAGGGTTCGGGGTTTATGGCTTTGTGTTTCTGACCTGACCTTTGGGGCAAACTGGTCACTTGTGCAACCTCATGCAGAACTCATGTTAGATTGCCTGCCCACCGATCCTATAATGCCCTATCCGGCCGCCGCCCCATCCGGCACCAATCTGACTAAAACTACATCTGCTTCCGTTCTGATTCTACCATGAATCTCCTACTATCCTCCCCCCACTATGTTACCGCAGGCTCCCCCTGAATTGCGGTTCTCTACGGATAAATAGAGCTATTGAATTAATCACAGCAATGGGGAACCTACGGGGGTAGTATCTGTGGGGGAAGCAACAGTGGAATGGATGATTCTAGAATTGGTCACATGGATCCCGAAGCAGATGAATACAGCACGTCCTCAGCTAACTTGCATGTTGCGGGCAGAACACGCCTTATGTTTATAGGCATCGAAAATGTCATGGGCCATCGATGAGAAGCTTCCGACATGTTTTATCAATGAGCGTTCGTGGTAATCCCATTTCTGCAATAAATATCACAGTCGTATGATAGTCATAGGGCTCCATTTCCTATCCAGCCTGAATCCTAAACCCCACCCTGCAGATCCCAAGTGCGTACAGCCTGTCTCTTCCAGCCTTCCGATGTACCGAACTCCTAGGATCGTACACCACAGCTCCTATGATTGCTATGTCTCCTTGTGGTCTCTGAGGGTACAGGGTACCCCCATGTTGAGTTTCCGCTTAACTCCAAACCCCTAAAGCATTCTGAGATATTCCTAAAGCCCAAAACCGAAACGAGATATTCCTATAGCCCAAAACCGGAACGCTGAGGCTCGCGCAGCACAGTTCACCTTCCAAAGCCCCCAAAGCGTCGCAAAGCGCCGCCAAGGCCGAGCCCATGGGTTGGGCAGGGCTTGGGAATGTTTCTTGTAATGTAGGAGACCACTTGGGAATATTATGGGTATATTGGGATAATGGAAAATAAAATGGAGACTACTATTTAGGGTTTAGGGTTCAGGATCGATGTTAGGGATCCTTCTTACTTTTTAGGGTATGGGATCCCTCTATTTAGGAAAAAAGGATCTTTTTTTGTTCCTGGGGTAATGTGGGCTAAGTCTCGTAATGTCGGAGGCCACATAGGGATCGTACAGGGGTTTGATACCCGCAATAATGGAGAATCAAATGTACAAGACATGGAAACTTGGGATATGCAGGGGTGTATGGATAACGATTCCAAAATTATCGTCCTACATCCCTTATTTGGCTGTTGCAAGGGGTACCTTCAGACGGACCTCAACAAGACATTTATAGCTTTTCAGACACCTGTGGTAGACTTTAGGTAGGGTTTAGGAGTTTAGGATTCAAGGATTCTTGCTGCGGAGTTCGAGGGCTTGGGTTTTAGGACAACACAGTTTAATGGCTTCATGCATGCTTTCAGGAGTTTCAAATTGTAGGGCAGGTCTTCGCACTCAGATTTGAGGAAATATGGGTTTACTTCACCCAAGGTTACGAGGGTATCTATCAGATCCAAGTCTATGACAAACACCAATTTATTTTAGAATCCCAAGATCATTTAGAGTTGTCTGTATGGAGGCCCATTCATACTATACCAGAATATCCTATAATCCTATAATGTAGTAGTAAACCCTATATCGTTAACCCTAAACCCTAGGCCTCCACTGCCCCCAAGAAGGTTTCTGGAAGAGATTGAGCGAGGCTTACCGTAATTTTTCCTCGCCAGTAATAATCCTCCGCACCCCTGAGACTAAACAGTCCCTCCATTACATAAGAGTACTGTATCATAGGGTTTAGAGTTTAGTGTGTTCAGGGTTTACGATCTGGGGTCTGATCCCTCCAGTCCATGATGGTACTATATAGTCCCCCTTGAGTAGAAAGAACATGGGTTATATGGGCATCTTATTCTAATATATCCAAAGCCAGGTTCATCTACTTAAGGGGGACTACATATCCCCATATCCCTTAACAACCCTGAACCCTAATCCCTAAACCTGAAACCTTGAAGGGGTGGGAAGGTTTTTGCCGGGAGGGGATCAACGTGATTGCTTGGTTCCCTTCAGAGGACTTGGTTTAGGGTTTAGGGTTAGGGTTTAGTAGGGTTTAGTAGGGTTTAGGGTTTAGGGTTATGGGTCATATCCGGGAGCGTAGCACAAAGGGGCGGCTGGGCACCAAAGGGCGTAGAGGGATTATGAGAGAATTCCAGGGTCTCTTCAAGGGTTGTAGCGATCAGTTTAAGGAGTATACATATCCCTAAACCCTAAACCTTCAACCCTAAACCCTAAACCCGGAATGAAAAAAGCGAGTTCAGTGAAGTTCAGTGTTCATGACCCCTTGACGTCCTTGAGCTCGCTGCTTCAAACCACGAGCATTGAACCCAAGCCCTGAAGCTCTTCGCCTAGGGATCCAAACATACAAATAACACCTACATTGGTCCCTGAAGTCGATAATCAGACAAATATACAAACAAGACCTACATTGGTCCCTAAGGTCTATAACTATTACCCTAGAACCTAAACCCGAAAGCCTAAAGTCTGTAACTATTACCTACATTGGGCTACTTGGATCCTTAGGGTTCGCCTTTTCCGAACAGTCGAAGCCACTGCGGTTACGAGGAGTGCTTCAACACATCTACTTGGAGGGTCCGGGGGGCTTAGTAAGTAGGTTTAGGGTTTAGGGTCAGGGGGACGTAGTAAGTGGGTTAATAATTAGGATGATTAGGGTTACTATATGGGTTATAGGGGTTATAACCTACTTACTAGGTCCCCCTGACCCTCCAAGTATTCAGCAGGCGGCCAATTTGATTACAATTCTGCAGCAGCCGATGCTGACCAGAATGCTTATAAGGATTTATCAGGTGTGAACAGCAACTCTAGAGACAGTTATGTTTACGATAGCGGTTATTGTCAGGACTATGAGAACATCGCCGTGGGTACTGTGACTGGATTAGCCAACAAACTACAGAAATGCGGTGCCCCAAGCGGAATCCGTAAATCACTACAGTACCTAAACCCCCCTAAGCCTCAATCCTTTTTCAAAACAACGCGATCCTAAAATCCTGACCCAACAAAACACCTGAACAACAAATCTAAACCCTAACCCTGAACCCTAACCTAGGCCCTGCATGAAATTGCTTCGTTGCCAGGGGCTCTACGGTCCCAGAAACTTCCCTTTCGTGTGCTCGGGCACTTTCATAGGCCGCAGAGCAGTTCGGGGTTTTGGGATCAGGGTTTGGGGTTAGTGTAGCGCTGTGGGAAGAGGCTTTGAGATTTGTTAATGCTTTTGTTTGGGTTAAAGTGCCACCAAAAATGGTGGCGTGCTTGGGGCTTGTAGTTCAGGAAACTTGGGCTTAGAGATTCTAGGGCTAGGGCTTCGGATTTTGCAAGTGAGGTGTGTCTCTTCGTGATCACTGTACCGGATTATTAAGTTTTGCCTTGTATGTCTTTTGCGCTCATCAGGGCTGATTGGGTGGATCCGGGGTTTAGAATTTAGGGTGCAAGTAGGGCTGGACATGCGGCAAGCTTATAATGCAAAAGAGCACAGCCCTCCACCCTAACTGCGGCATCGTAAAATCTACTGTCAAGTCTTGATATCCCACTGCAGCCTTTTCACTAGCATAATAAGATCCCTGATTGTTAATAAGAACCCCTAATTAAATGATCCTCCAAAATCTCCTTCGATTACATGTATTCTGGGTTTAGGGTTTTGGGCCATCACTCCAGCCCCTTTTCACCAGCGCACCTTCGGGTTTTGGTTTTTAAGTGTTACGCTTTTAGGAGAACGATTTTGCCGGTGTATGTGAAATGTTCCATAGCCAAACCTTGACCTATGTCAGTGTTGCTATGCCCCATCCGGCTTTTGTTGTAGAATCCTGAACTGTGGATAGTTTGCCTGAATTGCCCCAGAACTATTGACACCGATAATAAACAAGTCGCTTCAGAGGCTTGGGGCTTAAAGTTGTGGGCTGATATGGGCTAGTTTAAAAACTGTAGGGGCTCAAACCCTGAATAGCACTCAACATTGTCTTGAGGTCAGCTTAACCTAGCAAATGCTATACTATACTCTACTCTACTATACTGCAGGGCCACTATATTTAGTAGTTGATTAAGCCCCTTCATCACTATAAAACAAGATTCCGCCATAAGGCCCGCAGATTTTGCATTCCCCCCACAGTAATTGTCATAAAACAGAGTGTTTTTGTAACCCTAAACCCTGAACCCCCTAAACCCTAAACCCCTAAACCCAGGGCCGTTCCAGCTTCTATACCTCTTGTGGGAACCGTTACTGTGGGGGGCAGCGCCTAAATCCTAAAACCCAATCCCCAAATCCCAAAACCCTAAACCCCGAAGCCCTATGTCCCCCTTAAGTAGATAGAATCTGGTGGGGTCTATGGGGATCTCATTATAAATAGAAACCCAAAGCCACATTCTATCTACTTGAGGAGGACTACAAACCCCATAAGCTCTTTTTGGCAAAGCCCCGTGCAAGCCTTGGATAGCCTTCCGACATAGCGGGATCTAAGGGCACACTGTTAGCTTGAATGGCCTCCGTCAACCGTGAGCACAGTTCAGGGTCTAGGGTTCAGGGGTTAGGGTTTAGGGTTGCATGCTTGCGGGCTTGAATTCTATTCTCTCTCTTGGGGTATCTCGAATTCTGGCTCATTTTGGATGCGCCTGAAGAATAATGTATATTCCGATTCCGGTATATGGGCAATCTGACAAGCTACCACTTGAAGGAAGCCGTGGAAGTGCTTGCCTGTGGAATAGGGATATTAGGTTATACCAACAGCCTGAATAAGCACCCCACGACCATCACATGACTCTTGCAAGATGGTTACTTTAGAGGTTGGAGCTTGAACAATCTTAGGTAAACATCCCTATCAGAGCCCGCATAACCCTTAGGATAGTAATCCCTTCCCCCTAATAATAAACGACGTCCCCCCCCCCCCCCCCC